CCCACGGGCCCCGCGCCCCCCCAAAAACCCCCCCCCCCCCCCGTCCCCCCCCCCCCCCCCCCTTTTTTTTTTCCTTTACACAAACTCCACCATCCCCATCGTGGCGCGGGTGCAAAGGGAACAAGCCTGGAAGTGGTAAGGTTAGAAAATAAATCTGACGCCCTGCCAGGGAGTTCAGCTTTCCCTGCAGATGCTGGCGCACCCATTTGAGGCCGGAGCACGGCCCCGGGGCGCTGCCGGGGCTTGATAGATGCGGAGATAGCGGCGTTTTGATAGGGGTAATTTTCCTCAGATGGGTTTCAGCACCCCATGAATCAAAACCTGTCAGCGAGACGCTGAAGATGGAGTGAAGTTTATTGTACGCGTGTTTGCGCCCGACGCTGTCGTGCTAGGGGGTCAAGTGAGCGAGATCATTAGGGCCCGTGTTGATTTAGTAGGACGGGTATGTGCTTTCCCTGCAGGGCAGCGGTGGGGGCAGGAGGCGGGGGGGGCGGCTTACTGAAAAAAATAAATAAACCCCTGCAGCTCGGTGCGGTCCCCGGGAGCCCCCCGTGCCCGTTTATTAAAGACACAAGGCTTTTCTTCTCGAGCATGGCTCCGGGGCCGTCCTCTCGCCCGTGGGATTTGAACCACGCGGGCAGCAGCCATGGGTTTGACGGCGCTAATGCCCAGGTTGGATTTTCTTTGTGCGGTTGGCGCCTACGCCGCGCTGCTCCAGCGACCCGACTCTTCCTCCCCATCCCCGTGATGATAATCCTTCCCGGCGTCCTTTGTTTTGCTCGAGTTTCGCTGCTTTTCTTGGGACGTTGCTTCTTCCTGAAAGCTGGAATAATCCTAACCTGGCATGGGTGCTGGGTTGGAAGAGGACCCTTGGTCACTTGCCCCCCCCCTTGAGAGCCTGGGATGAATGCCTGCTCCCTCCTCTTCCTCCCTGAAGCGGGGCTGGGGCGGGCAGGGAGTGTGAGGGCGGTTTGACGTTCGCTTGTGTCTTCGCTATGGAGCCATGGAAAGGAGCGGAGCAGGAGGGGAAGCGTGGCCGCGTCCTGATGTCGGAGCCGTCTTCAGAACAGTCCCGCAGGCTCGGTGGGGGGGGCGGCGCTTGCCGTGGCGTTCGGCGGCAGCAGTCCCTGCGCGGAGGGGCTGCAACCAAACGCGTTTGGGCCACGGCTGCTCTGGCGGCTTCCTACAGAGCTGGAGCTTCTGAGAACCTGGGAGCTCGCGAACGCCTTGGCCGGCCCCGTTGCCACAACACGCGTCCGTGGTGGGAGTCAGCGCGGGGCGGGTTGCTGTGGCCTCGTTTTTGGAAGGCGTTGACATGGTGAGGTGCCCCCACTGCACGCTGATGGGGTGCCTGGTGCCGCTCTGGTGGAATTTGGCTGCTGGTGGCGCGGTTTCTGACCTCATGCTTGGGCGGATAGACGTCCGGCTTGATTCCTCTGCTTGGCCCGTTGATTCCGGTTGATCCAGGTGGAGCACTGGCACTCGAAGCCTATTTTTCTTGGAATGGGTGCTCCTGTTCCCCTTCCGCCTCTTGCCCCTTGCTCTAAGCCGAGGGTGTTGGTACCTCTGGTTCCCCAGGGCGGTGGGAAGCCGTGCCTCAGGGCGGCGCGGCCGGGGGCCTTCAGCAAGCGAGCCGTGCTCCCCGGATAATGGGATGGAGCGGATGGGGTTATGGGGAGCGAGAGCTCCCAGAGGGGCTTAACAACAGGGGAGGGAGAAGTGGAGGGGGCCCAGCAAGGTAACCGGGAGCCTGGGCTGCAGAAATGGTCTGAGAGGGGCATGGAACAGCCAGGGGCAGGAATAAATCCACGGAAAATGGACGTGTTGAGGCTTTTAGGGGTAATGATGGGTTGGGCTGTTAGCGGCGATCAAGACATCGGCGTGGGTGATGGCAGTGCAGGTAAAAAGCCTCCAGATTTTTTGGAGACCCTTGAGGAGCGGGGGTGGGAAGGCTCTGGGAAACATCAGTGGAAATTTTCTCTCTCAGGCTGGAAATAAATTAAACGAGGCTTAGGAAGACAGGGTGAGTGCTGAGCCTCCGTGTCCGAATATTTCTGAGAGGAGCGGGGTGCTGTCCGCACCTCAGGACGACCCTCAGGTCCCAAGGGGGTCCCCAAACCAGCCCTGAATGCTTCCCCCAGATCCTTCCTAGCCCAGATCCAGCCAAAGGCGAGGTTCTGGCTGCGGAGGCTGGGTTTTCCTCCGCACGTGCCCACCGTGCCCCCTGTTGCGGTGCCTGTGCCCGGCCTCTGCCCTTTCCTTCCACCCCCTCCTCCGTGCTCGGGTTTGAGCCTGAAGAATTCCAGAGCGAAGACGATGCGGTGCTGAATGCCGGGCAGGGGCTGGAGGGGGCTGCGGCTTTATCTGAGGAGGTCGTGCCACGGGCTGGTGGGGGGACGCTGCCCTCGCGCGTCTTCGTCGATGGCTGCTGAAGGACCGGAGCCGCTCGCGTTACCCGATGTGCTCCGCTCCTCTCCGGCGCGCGCAGCGAACTTCTCTGGGAGGAGTTGGGGGTAGGAGGGACGTGATTTACCCTTAAACGAGCACCCTGGGGCATTGCCAACAAAATAAATCTTCCTCCTCCTTTGTGCCAGAGTGAAGAAGATGAGAAACTGAAGAAGCGAAAGGAGCGGTTTGGCATTGTAACGAGTTCAGCTGGGGCCGGCGCGACAGAGGACACAGAGGTAAAACCTTTTCCGGAGCGGATGGGGAAGCGTCCGAGGACGCTGAGGGCAGCAACATCCCGGGGGTGGCAGCGCGACTCCGCACCACCGAGACCTCGCTCAGCGCTGGGTGCCCCCCCGCCAGCGTGGGGCTGACCCCGAGCTGTGGCTGGGGGGGCTCCCGCTTGGCCGTGGCCTCTGCCGTCGGATCCGTCGTGGCTTTTCCCCTGGCTCCTGCTGGAAATGGGCTGCCCTGGAGCCTACCAGGCCATGGGAGCCTGCCAGCACGCGTTGGCATCCAGCTCCTCCTCCTGCAGGATGGCACGGATGCTTCCAGCAGAGGCGGGGGGCACATCTGCTCCCCCTCCCCTCGGTGTGAGCCGACTCGCTCCATCTGCTCCTCGTGCCCTGGATGCTTCTGGACCCCCTGCTTCCCCTTGGCTGCTGTTGTGGGTCTCCATCAATAAATCCCCAGAGACCTTACAGTGTAGCGAGGATTGGGATGCTGACCCTGTTCCCAGCTTTTCTCCGCCGTGCTTTGTTCTGTCCCCTCTGGGTCCAGCCCATCTTTTAAACGTGGAAGCTCCTCGGGGCGATTCTCTGCTCTTCCCTGTACTTCCACGCTTCCTCCCGCTTCCAACGGCTCCAAGTGCAGGCTGCGCCGCGGCGCGGTCGCTCCTCCCTTACGCCGGGCGGGGAGCGCTGTGCACGCCTATGGTGCCGCATCAATACGGCTCCAGCGTGGATCAGCCGGAGCCGGGCACCGCTCCCCTGGGGACAAAGGGACCCCTCGGGTTGGGGACTCCCACGTTCACAATCGCATGGCAAAGGTTGCGGCGGGGTGAGCGTTGGGTCTTGGGACCCGTGGAAGCGGGTGCTGCGGGGCTCGGCAGAGAAGCGGGTTTTGTTCGGTTCCTAAGAGCGACCTCAGCGGCTCAGGTGGGGTTTGGGGGCTGCTTTTTGTGTGTGTGTGTGTGTGTGTGTGTTTGGCTTTGGGTTGACTGCCGAAACACTGCCCCGCGTGCAGCGGCGTTCCCAGCCTTCTGCTGAGCATGGGAGAATGAGCCCCTCCGGCCCGCGCGGAGGGGGCGGCTGGGCGAGGGATTCCATGCTTTTCCGTTCGGTCACTTGGAGATTGTGCCTGGAACAAAAAGGTCTTTTTACTGGTATTGTGTGCACTCAAATGCACCTTTCCCCTGGAGATTCTTGATTGGGGCTTCTGTTGCCCCCGGGCTATTTACCCTGCTAAAAATTAAGATTTATACGCCCCTCGTGTACCGGCGTAAGGGCATATCTGAGGGACGCAATAGTATATTTAATGCGTTTTAGTGTGTCCCCCTCACCTTTTCCATGAATAGCAGAGTGTTAACCCTTTGCCCTTTTACATTTCCCACCTCCCCACTGCCTGGAAGGGTTTCCAGGCCTCTGAAGTAGTCATTGTTCCCGGCTCAGCCCCTTTGTAGCGCCTTGCCAGCGAGCCCAAGTGCCTTCGGCAGCCCCGGATCTCGGCCACC